CCCTGCTGCTGTGACTCTTGGCGGTGTGGGGGGTGGGAGGACTATGTTAGTATCTTATGAATATTCTTTAAGTATTTTTTAACTGAAAACCACTAATAACAGCATAATAAATACCTGTATATTTAAAATCTTCTAAAAATAGATTTCCATTATTATTTTTTTTTTAGTGGTCATAACATAGTCCTATCTATGTGTCTATTTGAATTAGTCACTTACTTTCCTTTTTACCAGCAATGAACAAGTAGAACTTAAAATTAAAAGTACATTACCAGGACCAGCAGTTGGTGTAGTGGCTATGTCACTGACCTCCCATGTAGTTGACCATGGTTCAAGTCCCAGACCTGGTGGCTTAAACTCACGCCGGTTATGTGGATATGCGTGCCCAAAATCCCTAGAGGAGAATGGAGGAGAAGGGATTGCAACGCGGCCATCCCTCCCGGGGGTGATTTCTCATTTTCTGTCTCTTTGTCTTTCTGGCAAGCGCACGTGCCCTATAGCAAAAACCTCAACAAAAAAGAAGTATGTTACCATCGGGACCAGCAGATAGGCTCGATGGTTATGTCAGTGAACTCCCACATGGCCAACTGTGGTTCGAGTTCCAGAACCAGTAGTTTGCAACTCACGCTGGGCATGTGTGCATGAGTGCCCAAGATCCCAAGAGGAGAATGGAGGAGAAGGGATTGTATCCTGGCCAACCCCCTGAGTGATGATTCCTCACTTTCTGTCTGTCTGTCTGTCTCTCTCTCACTTCCCCTCTCTCAGGAGAGCACACATGCTCTATAAGAAAAATCTGTCTCTTAAAAAAAATACATTACCATTTACATAGAAAGAAAAATACTGCATGTTATCTCTCATGTGTGAAAGCTACAAAAGTCCATCTCATGGAATTAGAAAGCAGAATAGTGGTTACTAGAATCTAGGAAGCATGGTGGGGGAAGGAGGATTAGAAGTTTGGTTTACAGATACAAAATTATAGCTATACAGGAGGAATAAACTCTTAGGGTGCAATAGTACTGTAGGTAGACTATATGTAGCAACTTATTATATGTTTCAAGAAAGCTAGAGGATGGGACCAGCAGATGACATAATGATTACATCACTGGACTCCCATGTAGGTGACTGCAGTTCGAGCCCTGGACCTGGTGATGTGACTGCGGTTCAAGTCCTGGACTCAGTGGCTTAAAACTCACACTGATTACATGTGTGTGCATGCCCAGAATCCTGAGAGAAAAGAGGAGAAGGGTTTGCAGCGTGGCCATCCCTTCTGGAGGGTGATTTCTCGCTTTCTGTCTCTCCGTCTCTGTTTCTCTCTATTAAGTGCATATGCCCTATTGAAAAAATCTCTCTTAAAAAAAAGAAAGCTAGAGGGGACCAGCAGGTGGCATGGTGTTTGAGGTGCTGGACACTCCCACATGACTGACCACGGTTCAAATCCCGGACCTGGCGGCTTGCTTTCTCACTTTCCTCTCTCTCTCCATGTGTGTCTCTCTCTAGTTCTCTAGACAAATTAAAATAAATAAATGAATAAATAAAATTAAATTTAAAAAAATAATTCTTTAAATAAAAAAAAGCTAGAGGAAATGATTTTTAATGTTTCCAACACTAAGAAATATTAAATGTTTGCACTGATATGACAATCAACATGATTTAATCATTACACATTGTTTACATGTTTCAAGATACCATACATATCAAAATATTTTACCCCACTAATATGTACAATTATTACTTTATCAATTTAATATGATAATTTTTAAAACAATATGTACAAAATAGAAAGAGTTCAAACAGGGCTGGCCTGGCAGGTTGGTGGTTAAGGGAGCTGGATTCCATATGGCCCACTGCAAGACTCAAGGAACTGATGGCTTGAAAAATACCTGGTATCAGGAACCAGCAGTTAGCGTAATGGCTATGTCGCTGAACTCCCACGTAGTCAACCGCGGTTCGCGTCCCGGACCCGGTGGCTTAAAACTCATGCTGGGCGCGTGTGTGTGCGTGCCCAAGATCCTGAGAGGAGAATGGAGGAGAAGGGATTGCGGCGTGACCATCTCCCCTGGGGGGGTGATTTCTCGCTTTCTGTCTCTATGTCTCTGTCTGTCTGGTGAACGCACGTGCCCTATAATGAAAATCTCTCCAAAAAAAAAATACCTGGTACCGATGGCTTGAAAAATACACTGGCCACATATACATGCCTGCCCAAAATGCCAATGGAGTGGAGAAATGGAGGAGAAGGGATTAGGGTGTGACCATATCTCATGGGTGTACTTTCTCTTTCTCTGTCTGGCTAGCACACATGCTTTTTGGGAATTTTTTTTAAAGATCTCGCATAAATTAATAAGAAAAAGAACAAGTGAGACCAGTAGTTGGCGTAATGGGTATGTCACTTGATTCCCATGTAGTCGACCATGGTTTGAGTCCTGGACCCAGTAGCTTAAACTCACGCTGGGCGTGTGTGCGTGCGTGCCCAAGATCCCAAGAGGAGAACAGAGGAGAGGGGATTGCGACATGGCCACCTGGCTTGGGGGTGATTTCTCACTTTCTGTCTCTCTGCTCTCTCTGTCTTTCTGGTGAGCACATGCACCCTATAGCAAAAACCTCTTAAAAAAAAAAAAAAAAAAAAAACCAAGCAGGGCCCGCCAGGGGGATGGGGATTACGGTGGCTGAATTCTACATAGACAATTGTATGTCTCAAGTCCCAGACCTAGTGATTTGAAAAACATACCAGGCATATGTATGCACATGCCCAAAATTCTAAGAAGAGAATGAAGGAGAAAGATTTGTAGCAAGACCATCCCCCCAGGGGGTGATTTCTCACTTTCTCTCTTGTTCTCTCTCTGCCTCTCTCTGGCAAAAGCAAGCGCTCTATAGAAAACTGGAAAAAAAAATGAATAAGAAGAACAAGCAAATAAATAATAATGCAAACTGTAGCAATGCACATTAATATAATGTCAACAATTTAATATTGAGTGAGAGCATGTCACAAAAGAATATATGTAATTTACATTTATTTATATAAAAGTCTTTTAGAAAGACAAAGCTAAATCATATAATGTTTTGGGAATTATACATATGTGGGAATACTATTAAAAAACAAAGAAGGGAGTGAGTAACAAAACTTAGTGAAGTATTTACCTCTGAAGTGTGGGGAGAGGGGGCAGGTGCATTTGAAGGGAAGTACCCAGACTCCAGAGCAACACGTCATTTCGGTTGCTTATACTCAGCGATGGGTTTATAGCTGTTAACTTTGATATTCTTTAACTCTGCATATACCTTATATACTGTTATACGCATACTGTGTTTGATACTGAAGACAAAAATCAGTGTATAGAGAATGTGGACAAACAATCGCAAAGGAATAAATAGAAGTACGATTACTTCATCTACATCGTTAATGATCATAGACATACAAGTTTGAAGTGTATTATCTTTTCTAAGATTTTAGATTGATAAATTCCAGTGTTGTTAAGAATGTGGGAATGGACTTGGTATTTGTATTCCCACATGGCACACTGAAATTTGAGTCCTGGACCCAGGAGTTTGAAAATAATGCAGGGTGTGTGTGCCTGCTCACCCATAATCCCAGGAGGAGAATGGAGGGGAAGGGATTACACATGGATTTCTCATTCTTCCACTTTCTGTCTCTCTCCAGTGGGCACACGTGTCCTATGGCAAAAACCTAAAAAAAAAAATTTAAAAAAAAAATGGAGAAAGAGCACTCAGATACAACTAGATGGAAGAATAAATTGTCATAATTCTGGAAAACTTGTACATTATATTGCTGTGTGCTAGGGTAACATTGAGTGAGGAGAGGTATATTCTACTTTATTTACTTCTACTTTGTTAAAATATGAGCCAGTATTTTATTTATAATAGAAAATGATAAAGACATTTTAAAAAGTTAAAGAAAATTCAAATGCATCTACATTTTCATAAGAAATCAAGCTTCTGAATTACTGTTCCTCAGTACTATTCAATTGTATACATTTTAATTTTAACCATGATGTTATATTTACTGTGTTAAAGAATATAATATATGAGGCCTCAAAAGTTGAAAATTTGGGGGACCAGCAGGTGGCATGGTGGTTAAGGCACTGGACACTCCCACATGGCTGACCACAGTTTGATCCCAGACCTGATCACTTGCTTTCTCTCTGTCTCTGGTCAAAATTAAAATGAATAAACAAATACATAAATATTCTTTAAGGTTGAAAATTTTTATCAGTGAACAAAATTCTGTCAATCTTGCCATTGAATGAAATAACTTTATTTATGTTAAAACAGAGCTGCTAAGGAAAACGAGAAGTCTGCATCAAGTCCTACCTCCCAGGTAATCTATATTGAGTATTTTACCTTGGTTATCCTCTTTATCGTCATCATAATTCTGTGGCACATAATGAAGGTGTCTCTCCCTTCTTCAGAAGAGTACATGTTAAATACTCCACTACATATAAATGCTCACTTTATCATCTCATTGACTCTTCTATTTATTTGTTCATTCATATGTTCATTCATTCATTCATTCAAAACAAATACTTCCCAAGTACTTACTTTTTGCAAAGCATTGTGCTAACAAGGAGACTCAGCCTTGAATAAAATAAGTCCCAAACTTGTCCTCATGGGACTTAGAATCTGTTAGGAAAAATGGACATTAACTAAGTAATTACCAGCCTGTGGTATTTTACAAAAGATTGCTATAGAAGAATATAACGAAAACCTGACTAAGATGAAGGTTAGGAAAGACCTAAAGAAATGCACTAGTATATCTTAGCTAGTCAAGAAGTTGGGGAGAATATTCCAGGTAGAGAGGGAACTGTGTACTCACAGATCTGGAGGTAGGGAGGAACACATTTGAAGAAACAGAAATATATAGACAAATATGTAGGCTACAGAAAGGAAAGGGTGGTGTTAGAGAGGTAGGCAGAGGAAGTTCTGTGGAGAGGTTTGTAATAATTCTTTTTTTTTAAAGAATTATTTATTGGGACCAGCAAGTAGTGTGGTGGGTGGGGTGTGGGACTCCCACATGGTTGACCACGGTTTTAGTTCTGGACCCAGCGGCTTGAAACTCATGCTAGGCATGTGTTCCTGAAAATCCCGGGAGAAGAATAGAAAAGAAGGGATTGTGGCATGTCCATCCCAACTGAGGGGTGATTTCTTACTTTCTGTATCTCTCTGTCTCTATGGTGAGTACACACACGCTATAGCAAAAATCTCTGGAAAAAAAAAAGAGAGAGAGAGAATTAATTAGTTAATTTTAAGTTTTGACCAGAGAGAAACAGGGAAAGTGAGAAAGCAAGCCACCAGGTCCAGGACTTGAACTGTAGTCTGCCATGTGGGAGTCCAACATCTTAACCACTACTCCACCTGCTGGCCCCCATAATAATTATTTTATTCAACACCTCTTTTTGAATACCTCCTACATGCCAGATACTGTTGAAGGAATTAGTGATGCACATCATTGAACAAATCTAAGCCCCTTATTTATCATGGAGGTTACTTCTTCTAGGCCATGGTAACCTTTTCGAGTTTATCCTGAGAGCAAAGGAAGACTAAAAAGTTTTAAATGTCATTTCTGTTTTTTTTTTTTTTTTTGGAGAGATTTTCGTTATAGGGCGCGTGCGCTCGCCAGACAGACAGAGAGAGACATAGAGACAGAAAGCGAGAAATCACCCCCCAGGGGGGATGGTCACGCCGCAATCCCTTCTCCTCCATTCTCCTCTCGGGATCTTGGGCACGCACGCACACGCGCCCGGCGTGAGTTCTAAGCCACCGGGTCCGGGACGCGAACCACGGTCAACTACGTGGGAGTCCAGCGACATAGCCATTACGCTAACTGCTGGTTCCCGTCATTTCTGTTTTTAAAAGATTATTTTGTCTGAATTATGAAGAATGAACATTCTGTAAGTCTTTTCTTTGTCTATAGCCATATGTATCTTTAAAGGAGCCCTGATAGTACCTATGACCACCTAATACAGCGAAAACTATTTTCAGTGTCTTTAAGACAAAAATGTCTTCCTCACTGATCATCCTGAAGAGCATAAGAGAGAACATTTTTTTCATTTCCAAATAGCGAAAATAGGGACAACTAAGCTGTAGCCTTACACAATTTTATGACAATACGTCAGATCAGCTTTTGGAAGATACTCATAAAAGAGCTTAGAAAGTGGTTTTGGATAAGATCCTTTGAATAATCTAGAGAAAGTCATGAACTATCTCTATAAAACAAAACAAATTTCATGCAGTTTGAAGGAGTTCCACTTTACAGAAGCTTTAATTATGAAGAAACAACCTAGAATGGGCAAAGACCTCATTTTCAAGAAATATGTATTTCATATACATATGTAATTTTTTAATGTTTTTATTCTACTTGAGATAAGGAGACTTTTGTAAAGCTGAGAAAGTTTATAGTTCTAGGTAAAAGATTATAGACCTGGACAGTCATTGCCATTCTAGATGACTCGACTTCTCAAATCAGCACAAAAGCGTAGCTAGTAGTTTGGCTAATTAAAGCATGGGGAAAAAGTGTCATCTCAGCAAAAACAAACCTCTGTTTAGGGTTTCTAAAAACAGACCTAAGTTATTTGATTCTAAGTGTTTTGTCTCATATGTTTATAAGAAAAAATTCTTTTAAATTTTTACCTGTAAAACAAACTTTTTTTTTAGAGGTTTTTGCTATAGGGCGCATGCACTCGCCAGAAAGACAGAGACAGAGAGACAGAAAGCGAGAAATTCCCCCCCCCGCCAGGGGCAGGGGGTGGCCATGCCGCAATCCCTCCTCCTCCATTCTCCTCTCGGGATCTTGGGCACGCACGCACATGCGCCCGGTGTGAGTTTAAGCCACCAGGTCTGGGACTTGAACCACGGTCAGCTACATGGGAGTCCAGCGACATAGCCATTACGCTAACTGCTAGTCCCAAACAAACATATTTTTCAAAGTGCTTTTACATCACTTTGGTTCACATAAAGATAGTAACATAAATGGTATGAAAGTTCCTAAAAAATTTAAACTTAGGGGACCGCGGTTCGAGTCCCAGACCCAGTGGCTTAAACTCATGTCAGGCACATGTGCACACATGCCCAAGATCCCGAGAGGAGAATGAGGAGAAGGGATTGTGGCATGGCCTACCCCCTGGGGGGCGATTTCTCACTTTCTAGCTTTCTGTCTCTGTCTTTCTGGCAAGCACATGCACCCTATAGCAAAAACCTCTCCAAAAAATGAAAAGAAAGTAAAAAAGAAATACTTTATGATTCCATTTACATGAGGTACCTAAAGAAGTCAAGTTCAGGGCCAAAAGGTGGTATATAAGTTGGGGTACAGGAGCTCACATGGCTGACTGACTACATGGTTCGAATCCCAGACCCCACCAGCTTTAAAGCACACTGGGCACACATGTGCATGCTCCAAATCCGAAAAGGATTGGAGGATAAGGATTGTGGTGGGGCCATCCCCATTGGGGGGATGATTTCTTACTTTCCCTCTCTGTCCATAGGCACATACACCTATAGCAAAAACTAAAACAAAACAAAACAAAAGTTAAATTCATAGAGATAAGAAGTATAATGGTGTTACCAGAAGTGGGGGGAAAGGAAATGGGAAGTTATTGTTTAATGGTTAGGAAGTTTAGTTTGATCAAGTGAAACATTTCTGGAAATGAGGGATGGTGATAGTTACACAGCAGTGTTGAGTATATTTAATACCTCTGAACTATACACTTGAAAAATGGTTAAAATGGTGGACCAGCAGGTGGTGTGGTGGTTGAGTTGTTGGACTCCCACATGATCAACCATGGTTCGAGTACCAGACCTGGTAGCCTGAATCTCACACTGGATGTGTGTGCATGTTTGCCCCAAGTCCCGAGAAGAGAATGGAGGAGAAGGGATTGCAGCATAGCTATCCCCCCTGGGAGTGATTTCTTGCTTTCTGTCTCTGGCAAATGTACACACCCTATAGCAAAAATCATTCAAAAAAAGGAAAGAGAAAATGGGGGCCCAGCAGATGGCATAATGCTTATGTTGCTGGACCCCCACATAGTCAACCCTGGTTCAAGTCCTGGATGCAGAGGCTTAAAACTCACACCAGTTTCACATGCATGTGTGCCCTAAATCTTGAGAGGAGAATGGGAGAGAAAGAATTTCGGCATAGCCATCCCCCCTGGGGGATGATTTCTCACCTTCTGTGTCTGTGTCTCTCTGGTGAGCACATGCACCCTATATCAAAAATCTCTCTCTAAAAAAAAGAAAATATATAAAATGATAAATTTTTACATAATGTATATTTTACCATAATGAAAGCATATTCATATTAAGGTGTGGTTCATAAAGATGATTACTGACATTTACATAGACCAGAGATTTGATTAAATGAACTAATATCACAAACTGGTCTTCTACATGAATAACTCATTTTCTCAGTCTTATTTTTAATGATCCAAATAAAATGTGCTATTCTGGTAACATTTGTTGAGACTATCTCACTTTGCTCCCTTTTTTGTACCAACAGGAAACTCAAGAGGATCTGGGCCTGTGGGAAGAGAAATTGGGAAAATTTGTGGATGTCAAAGCTAATGGTAAAATCGAAACTGTAGCATCAAAATAGATTGTTTTAAAATGGCTAAATATCTCTAAAGCCCCTTCATCTTTGTCACCTAAAATAAATGATTTCTGTAAGGTGAACAGAAATCTTGAATTTGGTCCCCCTATCCTTCAGTAATAGACTGCAATAGTGAAATAGTGATTTATGCCTTTTACTGGGTGTAAGGGAATTGTAGGCCACGTTGGGTTTGTGGTGTCATGGAGGAAGGCCTAGTCCAGCACATACTTCTACTGTACAGCAGGTCAGACAGCTGCAAATTCTACTTTCTATTTTTATGCAAGTCAAAGATGAAACCAAGTTCTAGAGTTCTTCAGCTCCTACATTGGTTGGAGATAGGGGTTCTCAAACTTCCCATCATTCGTGTGGATATCATATGCCCATCTGTTACATTTCTGACTAGGCTTGGTAATGAGCTTGCAGGGGGAGTTGTCTCTTTAGGAAATAGCTTTCAATACTTGGGGCTTATGTGGTTAGAAAAATATTCACTTTCCTCCTTCTTCCTTCCTACACTATAATATAACAAATGCTCCCTAACTCCTTAAGAATCCTTGTTCTATCTATATCTATAGCAGAGTTAGAAAATGATCAGAATGCCTCAAATTCGTAAGGAGTATTCAGGACAGGTTCCTCACATCTCTTTTTTCTGCAGCATCCTAATCGGTTGTCTAGCTGAGAATTGACCAGAACTTTGCCTATACTGACATCTGAATGTAGTATCTTACAGAGGGTCAGTATACAGCATTTGCTAGTTGCTCAGAGTAAGGTCATGTCTCTCAACTCCTAGTCTAGTCATCCTGCTACACTCATAGTTGCCAAATTTCCTAGACTGTTCTGCTAAGAAGCAAAACTCAGTCAGTATCCTTGTCCCTATAGGTCCTACCTCCATTGGTTTGGATTTCTCCTTGCATGGATTTGAGCATGTCTATGGGATCCCACAACATGCAGAATCACACCAACTTAAAAATACTGGGTAAGTTAGGGCCAGCGGGTGGCGTGGTGATTAAGGTACCGGACTTTCATATGGTCTACTGCAGTTCAAGTCCCAGATCTGGTGGCTTGCTTTCTCACTTTCTGTCTCTCTCTCTTGCTCTCTGTCTCTCTCTGGTGAGTGCATGTGCCCTATAGAGAATTGAAAATATTAATAATAAATAAAATTAAATAAGTAATTCTTAAAAAAAAACCAGATAAGTGAAAGCAGGATTCTTACAAGCAGCTCTGATTTCTAGATTGAAAGAAATTTGAAAGGAGCATGTGTGAGGTGTCTGCGCGAGTGTTAATACATGCTCGGCTTTTTCCTCCTTGATATTGCTTGTGGATCTTTAAGACTTTTCCTAGAGTGATCACCCAGAGCAGTGGCTTTCAATTTTTATTTTATTTTTTGATAAAACTTAGATAATTATGGAAACTACAATATGAAATGTGAAGATACGAAGGAAGCTGCTATGGCTCAAGTAGGGGGGAGATCTTTATCCCTGGATTTCACTTTCACCTTGCAAGGCCTTTTTGTGGAACCCTGGGAAAATGCACTTTGAAAAAAATCACTGACCTAGAAAACAGCTTTTACCAAGTGGGGACAATGAGCTAGAGAAGGGAAGTACAGCTTCTCACATTGCCTTTGATTCCCTCAGGGAGATCATTTCAGACTAGCACTACTCAAATAGATGCCAGATGCATCACGCTAAGAGGAAACAAAAGCAGAGTGAAAGAGTCTGTTCAGGGCTGCCAGGTTCGGGTACTGTGTACTTGACAGGTAGGCAAGGTGGCGAGTCCGTCAGAAACTGCTGCCATTACACCATCCTGAGCTCTGAGCTCCCTGCCCCAGCTCAGTCCTGATCTGTCCCTGATCAGTGCCATGGGAGCCCATGAGGACACTATTCTTTTACTTTAGCTGAGGAGAAGTACTCCCGAAAGTCATCATTCACTTGGTACTTGTTATGCACTTGCTATTGTAAAGGATTCACAGGAGACAGTCTCCCCCCGCCCCCAAGCGATATTTAGCAAAGATACAGGATAGTGCGTACCAGTTGTCATAGGAGGGGGTGCCAAAGGAATCAAAGGAAGAGGATCATATTCACCCGGGCTGGGTCAGGAAATCTCTAAAGCAGTGGCTCACTTTTCAAGTTGAGCCCTGGTAGGTAGGTGGGACCTAAGTGTTTGCAGGGAACAGTGAAGCTAATCTGTTCATCAACACACTCGTGATAGTAATTGATGATAATCCTTATTTGTGTTGCAGGGATGGAGATGCTTACCGTCTTTATAACCTGGATGTCTATGGATATAAAATACATGACAAAATGGGTATTTATGGGTCAGTGCCTTACCTCCTTGCCCACAAACTGGGCAGGACTATAGGCATTTTCTGGCTGAATGCCTCAGAAACACTAGTGGAGATCCATACAGAGCCTGCAGTAGAGGTGAGCTGTGGATCATGGCTGCATGTCCTACTCAGAAGCAGCAGAACGCTGCAGTATGGGCATAGCTCTTGTCTTTGTAGAGGCAGCCCTCCACTACCAAAGGCTTCACAGTGGAGTCGGTGAATGTCAGTCGTATCTACTAAAGGAACAGACTGGTACTCACATGTGGATGGGCATTATAAGTTAGAAGACATTTTTCAAATGTTTATTCCATTCCTTTTCCAGTACACATTGACCCAGTTAAGCCCAGTTGCTGCTAAACAAAAGGTCAAATCTCGAACTGATGTGCGTTGGATGTCAGAGAGTGGAATCATAGATGTTTTTCTGCTGACAGGACCTACACCTTCTGATGTCTTCAAACAGTACTCATACCTCACAGGTATCTCCATGTAGAAGGGTCCGTTTCTAGTTCCTCTATCTTGTGTGTCAGCACTCTTAAGTTAGTATTTCTTGTACATGATGTAGAATTTGTAGACAACTTACCCAAACATTCTAAGTAGCAAACATTCCCGCTCCCACTCTCATCCCACTTAGTTCAGTTAAACATTGCACTGGGTGTAGAGCTCGCCACTCTAATACTTGCCATTTGCCTTCCTTAGAACCGTTAGCATTGAAGCTTCCTCTACCTTTAGCTCAGGTGATGAGTATCCAATTTGAACCTTTTCCTATTCTTTCCAATTGAAATATACCACTGGCTTTAGCACTAAAGCATTTTTTTAAGTTTATTTTTTCATGAGAGAGAGAGAGACAGGCTTCAGAGAGAGAGGGTTCAACAGTGTCTTCACGCTGATCCACCCCAGTTTCAGCTAGTCCAAGTCATAGGCACATGTACACACCTAGAGTACTCAGGGAAGTTCCAGGACCTAAACCTAGGGCCTTTCCATGTGGATCGAGTTGTGTTGCCACCACCAGCTGGCCCTATCAGTAAATGTTTTAACATTTTGATAATTTCCTGACTGTTCTTCCTGACTTCAGTCTCTTTCTCTTGAAGTCAGCCTTAACACTGCTTCCTATCTTAATTTTTCTAAAGCATAGGTCAGTTAAGGTTACATCTTGCTAACTTTCGTTTGTTTCTTTTTCCAAGAGATTTTTGCTACAGGGTGTGTGTACTCACCAGAGACAGAGAGGCAGAAAGTGAGAAATTGCCACTGGGGGGGTGGCCTTGCCACAATCCCTTCTCCTCCATTCTCCTCTCAGGATTTTGAGCAGGCATGCACACTTACCCAGTGTGAGTTCTAAGCTGCCAAGACCAGGACTCAAACTGCAGTCGACTACATGGGAGTTAGCAACGTAACCATTACACCATTTGCTGGCCCCTTGCTAACATTTTGATGGCTTCCCATAAGAGAAGATTTAGAATTCCTAACCTGAACTTCCAGGCCCTCTACAAAACTCTTCAGTTTCATCTTCTACTGCTCTGTCTCACACTGTAACACCCTGGAAGATTTATCTTTTCCTAAGCCTAGTATGTACTTCTCTGCCTCTGTGTCGTTTCTGTCTTCTGTGCCTAGAATTTGCTATCTCTTCTCCCTGTCTAGTATACTCTAGTATTTATTCCTCAAGATCGAAACCATATACTACGTCCTCCATGAAGTCCTTCAAGACTTGACACTTTACTGTAGACAAAATTGATTATCCTCTTTGTGTTCCCATAGCACCAGACTGATATCTTTAACATAATTATACTTCAGAGCAGAGCGGTTTATTTACACACCTACCTGATCAGCCGAGTTTCACCTCCTTAAAGGCAGGGACTGTGCTTTCTTTCTTTTTTATTTTTTTCTTTTTTGGAGAGGTTTTTGGTTATAGGGTGTGTGCGCTCACCAGAAAGACAGAGAGAGACAGAGAGACAGAAACTGAGAAATCGCCTCCCAGAGGGGATGGTCATGCTACAATCCCTTCTCCTCCATTCTCCTCTCAGGATCTTGGGCACACATGCACACGTGCCCGGCATGAGTTTAAGCCACCAGGTCCAGGACTCGAACTGCAGTCGACTACATGGGAACCCAGTGACACAGCCATCATGCCAACTGCTGGTCAAAGAGAGAAATTGCAAAGCAAGCTGCCAAGTCTGGGATTCAAACCAGAGAGCAACACATGCGGGACTCCAGTGCCTTAACCACTAGACCACCTGCCAGCCCCTGTGCTTTCTTCTTGTATTCTAAGTACCAAGCTCAACACTTAGTACCCTGTAGACATCTAGGAAACATTTGTCAATGAATAATGATCATTGTGATGGTAGTTGATTCAGTCATCGTCTTCCTCTTTTAGGTACACAAGCCATGCCCCCTCTCTTCTCCTTGGGGTACCACCAGTGCCGCTGGAACTATGAAGATGAGCAGGATGTAAAAGCAGTGGATGCAGGATTTGACACCCATGACATTCCTTATGATGTCATGTGGCTCGACATCGAGCACACTGAGGGCAAGAGGTACTTCACCTGGGACAAGAAAAGATTCCCAAACCCCAAAAGGATGCAAGAACTGCTCAGGAGCAAAAAACGTAAGGTAAAATGAGTCAGCATTTCTGAACATTTCATTACAAAGCTTTCTAAAATGTTGTAAACTTGCCTTGGCACATTCTTGGAAGAAAACTATGTGATTAAAAATGGCCATGAAAATTGTATCTTCAGGGGGTACCCTTGGATGGCGGTGCAGTGGTGAAACCACGCACCCCGTGAGGCTGACTTATGTGGGAAGGTTCTGAGTTTGTTCTGGAGACCTCCCTTAGTATGCATGATATGGGGCTGGCTGAAGCTGGGAGAAGAAAGCATTGTTAAGACGCTGTTGGAGGGAACCAGCAGTTAGCGTAATGGCTATGTCGCTGGACTCCCACATAGTCGACCACGGTTCGTGTCCCGGACCCGGTGGCTTAAAAAACTCACGCCGGGCGCGTGTGCGTGCGTGCCCAAGATCCCGAGAGGAGAAGGGAGGAGAAGGGATTGTGGCGTGACCATCCCCCCTGGGGGGTGATTTCTCGCTTTCTGTCTCTATGTCTCTCTCTGTCTGTCTGGCGAGCGCACGCGCCCTACAGTGAAAATCTCTCCAAAAAAATAAATAAATACACTGTTGGAGGTGATGTCTTGCTCTCTCTCTCTCATTCATGGAAAAAAAAATCATAAATAAACTTCAGGGACCAGCAATTAGCGTAATGGCTATGTCGCTGGACTCCCATGTAGTCAACCGCTGTTCGCGTCCTGGACCCGGTAGCTTAAAACTCACGCTGGGTGCATGTGCATGCGTGCCCAAGATGCCAGGCGGAGAATGGAGAAGGGATTGCGGCATGGCCATCCCCCCTGGGGAGTGATTTCTCGCTTTCTGTCTCTCTGTTTCTCTCTGTCTGTCTGGTGAGCGCACACACCCTATAGCAAAAACCTCTCAAAAAAAAAAAAAACTTTAAAATGTAGTGTGTTTGTGTCAGCTGTCGCGTGGATGGTTAAAGCTGCTGGATCCCACATAGCTGACTGTGAGGTTCAAGTCCAAGACCTGGCAGCTTGAAAAAACATGCTAGGTGCATGTGCATACATGCCCAAAATTCAAAAGGAGGGAAAATGGAAGAGAAAGGATTATAGTGTGGCCATCTGTCATGGGGATGCTTTCTCACTTTCGCTCTCTTTTTCTCTCGCATCCCCACCACCCACCCCTGTGAGTACACATGCCCACTGGCAAAAATTTTTTAAAACTTAAAAAGTAATTGTAACTGTGATGACAGAGAAAAGGAAGTGGTAAAAGGAAGTGACTATCCATCCGTGCCTTACCTGTCTGAGTCCTTGTAATGATGAGGGGGCCTAGCATTTTCAGTCCCATTCATTATGGCCATTCTAGGCTCTATGTGATGGATCCCACCCCGCAGCATATACACTCAGAATTTTGTTCTGATGTCAAGAACGACGATATCACACATGCACCAAGAGTGTATGAGCAAGTTTATTATTCATGTAGTGAGGCTGTCTATGGTGAGCAGGGTGGGCCCCCTAGCTGATTTGAAAATGCCTTGAGAGAACTGGGAAAGGAGACTAGCTCAGTTGGGATTTGAAGGATTTGAATTTCCTGCTCACACCAAGGAAGGAAGCACTAGGGATTTTTTGTCAGCTTACCCAGATGTGGGCAGACAAGCTAATGGGTAGTGAAGTCTGAAAGCCCGTTAACAACCAAATATCAGAAACAGAGTCAGATTTTTCATTGCGCTACGTTTCCTGCATGCTTCCCTAATGGACTGCAAATATCTATCTGGCCAGGTGAAGAACTAAAATAGAAAATGGGGCGGGGGAGAAGACCCTGGAAAGAATATATTGTTGCTTTCCTGTTCCAAGAGTGGTAGTGGTAGTAATAACAATAATGAAAAGAGGGAGGGAGAGAAGAAAATGGAGGGGGGAGAGAGGGGTGAATCCCTATATATATTATGTAAGTAGATCTGTCCTGTCTCCCTCAAAGTTGCCTTTTCAACCCAATCCTTTGATCTTCAGGCTTTTCACAGTGGCCAAAGCCAATCCCATTGACTCCAACTAATAAACAGCTACCACTATAAGCAGTTATTATGGGGTAGGTAGTATGATAAAACACATTATTCCATCATCACAAACTGAGGTGGGTCTTGCTATTCCATTTTTTAGATGAAGAAGCTAAAGCTTAGGGTGGATGAGTAATTTTGTTTTGTTTTGTCTTCTGTTTGTTTGTTGGAGTGAGACAGAGAGAGGGAAAATGAGATATCACCCCCGGGGGGATGGCCATGCATAGTCACTTCTCTGTTCTCCTCTCGAGATTTCAGGCACACATGCACAAGCACCCGGTGTGAATTTTTTTTTTTAAGATTATGTTTTATTTAACTTTTATTTATTTATTTACTTTTTTTTTTTTTAATTTGACCAGAGAAGAAAGGAGTGAGAGTGAGAGAGCAAAAGGGAGAAGGAAAGCCACAAGGTTCAGGACTCGAACCACAGTCAGCTATGTGGGAGTTCAGCAACCTTAACCACCACGCCACATGCTGGCTCCTAAAAAAATTTTTTTAGAGAGATTTTTACTTTAGAGCGTGTGCACTCACCAAAGAGATAGAGAGACAAAAAGCAAGAAATCAACCCTCCTAGGGTGGTCACTCCACAATCCCTTCTCCATTCTCCTCTCGGGATTTTGGGCACCCAACACACGTGCCCAGCATGAGCTTTAGCTGCCAGGTCTGGGACTCAAACTATGGTCGACTGTGTGGGAGTCCACTACACCATCTGCTTGTCCCACCAGTATGATTTTTTAAAAAATTTCTATTTATTATTGTTATTATTTTTCCATTTGCTATAGGACACATGTACTCACCAGAGACAGAGAGAGAGAGAATGTGGGAAAGCAAGCCATCAGCCGGAACTCAAACCACAGTTAGCCATGTGAGAGTCCAGTATCTCAACCACCACGCCACCTACTGGGCCCCCACCAGTGTGATTTTTAAGCTGCCAGGTTCAAGTCTAAACTGCCGTCAGCCATGTGAGAATCCAGCACCTTAAACACCACACCACCTGCTGACCTGTGAGTTGGTAATTTGCACAAAGGTACACAGTGAATAAATAGGGCAAGAAGCTGAACCCTGGTCTACAGACTTCAGCACTTCTGTCCTAGGAGCAGTCATTCATTGAGGCCTTTGAATATTCGAGATTCTATGCAGGTGCTGAAGAGAATGCAGTGATGAGCTCTTCAGGGTCTTACAGTGCATTGAGGAAAGGCAAGCAGACAGCCACCACAATGCAGGGCCAAAGAAAGGTCAGGGTGGTGAGTAGTCCAAGAGAAGGTGATCATACCCTGCCAGAGGAAGAAAACATGCTTTTGCCAGAGGTGCATTTTGTTTGGACCCTGTAGGATGAGTCTCTAATCAGTGGAAAAGTAGGGGAAAAGCAGGGGAAGTGGGCAGTATAGCCAGAGGACGATGTGGCTAGGATGTTTGGAAAGCAGTACACAGGTTGGTGTGACAGCAGACCAAGGCATGTTAAGGTTTAAATACTAGGAACTCTGATAGGAAAGGTTGAGACCTTATTATAGGCTGCTTTGCACACATTTGGAGTTATTAAAAATTTATGAATGGGGATTAGTATCCAGAATGTATAACAAATCCCTAGAACTCAACAGCAACAACCACAAAAACAAAACAATTAAAAATGCGTGAAGGACTTGAATAGGCATTTCTCCAACAGAGACAAATAGCCAACAAGTACATGAAAAGATGTTCAACATGACTAATCATGAGAGAAATGCAAAGCAAAACACTCCAGCAAAATACCACTTTATATTATTAGGATGGCTGCTAATGAGAAAACAGAAAATAACAAGTGTTGGCAAAGTTGCAGAGAAATTGAAACTCCTGTGCACTGTCGGTAGGAATGTAAAATAGTGCAGCTGCTATGGAATACAATATGGAATTCCTCAGAAAATTAAAAATAGAATTACTATATCAACTAGCAGTTCCACCTCTGTATATGTACCCAAAGGAATTGAACACAGAAACTCAAACAGATCTTTGTACATTCGTGGTCACAGCAGCTAGAGTAACCCAAGTGTCTGTCAATGAATAAATGAACAACGTAGTATATACATATACAATGGAATATTATTCAGCCTTAAAAAGGGAGGAAATTCTAATTTATTATTTTGTGGATGAATATTAAGGACATATGTTAAGTTGCTATAGTCTGGCCACGGAGGCATAGGGTGTCCCAAGGGGAAGGGCTGTGGACTGAGAAAGGATAGGCAGAGAAAAGTGGGAGTAGGGCAGACTGGCGTCTCTGATGGAGAACACTATGGCCCCAAGCCATTCTGTGCTCCTCCTTTTATAGGGGAGGCAGAGCCAAGTGCTTTCTGTATGGACTGCAGGTGTGAAGTATCTTTTTTTTTTTTTAGGATTATTTATTGTATTTATTTATTTAACTTTATTTATTTATTTATTTATTTTAATTTGACCAGAGAGGGAGAGAGGAGAGAGAGGGGAAAGAGCAAATGAGAAAGCAATCCATCAGGTCCGGGGCTCAGTTGTGGTCAGCCATGTGGGAATCCAGCACCCTTAACCACCAGGCCACCTGCTGTCCCTTGCAGGTGGGGAGTATCTAAATCAGTCTCTTCTAGACTTCTCTGGCTAACACTCAGGAGATTTTGTCTTTGTTTAGAGCTTTTGCATGCCCTGCAGCGTAAGCACAAAGACTGTATCCACTTCAAGACACCCCCTACATTAAGTGAAATGAAAGCCAAAAAATACAAATGTATGACTCACTAACCTGAAGTAACCAGAGTAGTCAAGTTTATAGAGACAAACAGTAGAATGGTGGTTACCAGTGGCTGGGAGAAAGCAGTGGGGAGGTGGTGTTTGACAGGTGTAGAGTTTGAGTTCTGCAGCATATAAGAACTCAGGAGACAGGTTATATACCAACAAGAAGGTATTTTATGCTACTGAATTGTATACTTAAAAATGGTTATGATTTTATGGTTTGTGAGCCTGGACAGTGTCGTGTGCCTATAGTTCCAGCTACTTGGGAGGCTGAAGCAGGAGATACGTTAGTTTAAGCATGACAATTTCTTTAATATATGTATATACATATATATATATATTATATATATGTAAAATTTTTAAACAATGAGGAATTAAACTTTAGTACTTAGGATGAACTGTAATGGAAATAATCAGAAGATTATTCTAGCCAAATAAAGTGGTATTAAGACCCTAGATTAGGCAGGGAGATGTTAGAGAAATGGAGATGTGGCTTACAGTTGTTCTCAAACCTCCTTTCTAAGTATGCCAGTACCACTGGGTTTGAGGTATGTTTATTTTTAACATATTATTCTCTTTCTTTCTTTCATGTTTGCTTTTATCACTGTCTCCTTAGTCTAAATGTCCAGGGAGCAGGATTCTGCCTAAATCTTTGTTATCCAACACCCAGCATCACAGACAGACAGAAGCTTAACAAATGCTATCTTAACTTGCATTGGTTAGGTAGTATTTTCATGGGGTTTTGCTAGTGTCTGTATTTCCATACTAGGTGTAGTTACTTTTGAGTAAAATTTGAATACCAAAGCTATGGTTGTAAATATATAAATCAACATATGTCTCCCATAAAACTGATAAGATATTCAACTTTTGTGTCTTGACAGCTCGTGGTCATCAGTGACCCACACATCAAGGTTGACCCTGACTACTCAGTTTATGCTAAGGCCAAGAAAAAGGGTTTCTTTGTGAAGAATCCTGAAGGGGGAGACTTTGAAGGAGTTTGCTGGCCTGGTATGATATTACTTTACACATTTATTCTTTTCATTTATCTAGTCCCTATTAATGAAGGTTACATAATCATCATGCTCATTCCTTGTAGATTCTCGATCCTCCAGCTAAGCTTTAAGGAAGAGGTAGTATCATAACACTCTATACGGTGTTCTCTGTATACAGTTAGTAGTAAATAATCAAATGAACGAATGAAATATATACAGGCAGACTTCAGTGGCATGCTTGTTTCTCAGCAAATAGAGATTAAAAAGCCAGGAAATTGGCCAGCAGGTGGCATAGTGGTTAAGGTGCTAGACTTTTACATGGCCGACCGCAGTTCAGGTTCCAGACACAGCAGCTTGAAAATCATGCCAGGCACATGTGTGTGTGTACATGTCCAAAATCCCAGGAGGAAAATGGAGGAGAAAGGATTGTGACATGGCCATCCCCGGTGCGTGATTTGTCACTTTCCTTTTCACTGTCTGTCTCCCGCTCTGGTGAACACACATGCCCTATAGCAAAAACCTTAAAAAAACAAAAACAGGGAATGAGGAAAGGGAAGGAGGGATAAAGAGGGTCCTATAGGCTCCCCTTGATTGCTCTTTTCCCTTTAGCCCATAATTTTGACTTCCCAGTTTTCATGATTGACTTCAGTTTTCTCTGGCAACTATGAATTCTTCATTTATTCATTCATTTTTGTTTATTTTTGAGAATTATTTATTTAATTTTATTTATTGTCATCATTATGTTTTTAAGAGTTATTTTATTTAACTTTTATTTATTCATCCATTTACTTATTTATATTTTAATTTTACCAGAGAGGCAGAGAGAGGGAAAGTGAGAAAGCAAGAGTCCAATACCCTTGGGACCAGCAGTTAGCGTGATGGCTATGTCGCTGGACTCCCACGTAGTTGACCATGTGGTTCGCGTCCTGGACCCGGTGGCTTAAAACTCACACCGGGCACGTGTGCATGCGTGCCCAAGATCCCGAGAGGAGAACAGAGGAGAAGGGATTGAAGCGTGGCCATCCCCCCGGGGGGTGATTTCTCACTTTCTGTCTCTCTGTCTCTCTGTGTCTGTCTGGCGAGCGCACACACCCTATAGCAAAAACTTCTAAAAAAAAAAAAAAAAGAGTCCAATACCCTTAATCACCATGCCACCTGCCAGCCCCAATATTTTTTTTTTTTTTGAGAGGGCCTGGGACTTGAACCGTGGTCAACTACATGGAAGTCTGGTGACATAGCCATTACGCCAACTGCTGGTCCCAGAGATTGTTCTTTGTTCCCTTTAAGAACCCAGAAGTCACTGCAGAATATTCGCCATCTTTACTTAGGTCATCCTAGTCTGTTAGTGCAGGACAGGCTACATCTTGATGCTTATCTGTTGCTTGATGCTTGTCTGTTGGTCTGCTAGTGTTGAAGAGTCAAGCAGTTATTAATAGACTTCAGCAATGCCTTCATTTACTTTTCTCCAGACAACACCCGTATTAGCTATCTTTTGAGTTTGATGTAAGCTGCTCATTGATTACCAAGCTCTCACATCTGATGTCTTCTTTATAATGCATGTTATGAGAACCACTGTTCCTAACAGGCTGTCTACTGTTCTGCCCCTGCAGGTCTCTCCTCTTACCCAGATTTTACCAATCCCAAGGTCAGAGAATGGTATTCAGATCTTTTTGCTTTCCCTGCTTATCAGGTTGGTTTTTATTCTTTTGCTCTTTCCTTGTCACTTGAAATGATGAAAGAAGGAAAAAAGTGATTGAATAGAATAACTTTGCTTCATTAAGTACCTCTTGATATATAATAACTATATGAAAAGGCAAGGATGACAACTACATTACAGACTTGTCAGGAGAGGTGTCATAAGTACAAAAGTTACAATTTTAACAATTTTTAAAAAGTTACAATTTTAACCTCTATTATAGTAGACTGATATGTCAAAGTATTTTATAATAGATTTATCTTATTTTCAAATTACTACATATACATACATTTTCATATAAAATAGTATTCTTTAGCATTACTTAAAGATGATATATGTGGAGATATCTTGCAATGTGTAACAATGTCATTAAAAGTAAAGCATAATAATCAATAAGTTATTGAAAATCATACAAGAGGACAGCCCATGGTTTGATGGTTAAAGGAAGTGAATCCTAAATGAGCAACCATTAGGTTCAAATCCTGGACCTGGCATCATCAAACACATGCTGGGCACCTGTGCATGCATGCCCAGAATCCTCAAAGGAGGGAGAAATGGAGGAGAAGGGATTTGGGCATGACTATTCTCCATGAGGGATAATTTCTCCCTCTTCCTCTCTCTCTCTCTGGCACGTGCATGTGCCCTCTGGAAATTTTAAAAAAGAGAGAAATCATATAAGAACAACAGAAAATGGGAGAGGCCACATCTAGAGAACTATTCTTAACAAATCATATTGATGGTGATGATACCTAATACAAATTGAATGCTCTCTGTGTACCAAGCATCGTGCTAAGTCCTTTATGTGCATTATACCATTGTTCTCTTCATAATAACCCTCTGAAGTTGGAACTATGTTAAGTCTAATCCCATAGATAAGGAAATTGAGGCATAGAAAAGTTTAAAATTTTGTTAAGGTCACCCATCTAGTAAGTGGTGGAACCAAGATTTGAACTCAGATCTGTTTGTTTTCCAAGCTCAACTTTTTTTTTTTTTTTTTGGTAGAGGTTTTGGACTTAGGGTGCATGCACTCGCTGGAAAGAGAAAGACAGTGATTGTGAGAGGGAAAATGAGAACTCACTCTAGGGGGCATAGCCACACTGCAGTCTCTTCTCCTCCATTCTCCTCCCTGGATATTGGGCATGCTCACGTATGTGCCTGGTGTGAGTTTCAAGCCATCGGATCTGGGACTCAAATTGCAGTTGGCTGTATGGGAGTCCAGTGATGTAACCACTACACCCTCTGCTGCCCACCCCCCCACTCCAGCTCAACTCTTAACCACAATCTAGTTTTTTTTCGTGGTTTTTTTTTTTTTTTTGAGAGGTTTTTGCTATAGGGTACATGTGCTCGCCAGAGAGACAGAGAGACAGAATGCGAAAAAATCAGTCCCCAGGGGGGATAGCCACTCTGCAATCCCTTCTCCTCCATTCTCCTCTAGGGGTCTTGGGCACGCACAAACACATGCCTGGTGTGAGTTTAAGCCACCGAGTCTGGGACTTGAACTGCAGTCAACTACATGGGAGTCCAGCAACATAGCCATTACGCCAGCTGCTTGTCCCAACCACAATCTAGTTTCTAAACATCAGGTATTATTTGTTACGTATCATGAGCATTCCCAATTTAGAGCAGTAACAGACAACCCTTGGGCCATATCTGGCCATGCTCATTCATTCCCCCGTTTTCTATGGCTGTTTTCTCACTACTGTGGCAGAGTGGAGTGCCTGAAAGAGAAATCTGGTGACCTGCAAAGTTGGAAATATTTACTGTCTGGCCCTTTACAAAAACAGTTTGCCCATTTTCCCTTAGAGAATGTTAAAGAAGAATAGTTAAATTAAGGTAGTTAAATATTTGGAAACCATATAGCCTTGTTTATAGAAGTACACATGTTTAGAAATAGTAGTTCATCATGAAAGTCATAACGTGTTTTTCTACACAAAAATGCATCATGACTTTCCCAGAAACCCAACACTTTAAGGTAGAGTCAAAAGAAAGCATGTAAGCCACCTCCAGGCATTTGAAAGACTATCTACAGTGTGGGCAAGATAGCAGATATATTATGTGGTGTCCCAGAAAGCAAACTAGGCATTGTGAAGGGATGTTAGAAGGAGCAGAACTTTTAAAAATTAATGAAATGAGCAGTGAGACTCATTCAGTCAAATGTTGAGACCTGGGAGTCTATGGAGAGGATACAATACCATGTTATGATGACTCAACTGTCCTTTCTCAGTCTAAACTGAACAATTATAAATAGAACCTACCTTATGGAGAATGCTACAAATAGGTATCTTAGCTATCAAATCTTTCAAAATATTAAAGGGAGGATAAAATGTTGTCATTTACAGCTGTAATTGCCCTTAGCTAATTGTTGTAGCAGGGATGGATGATATAAAGTCTCACTGTGAACATTTATAACCTTTCCTGTAGGTTCTCTAGGGAGGTCTTCAAGTGAACTTGCTGGGCAATATGTATTTCACTGGCAATACAGTATAGCATTCTTTTTTTTTTTTTTTGGAGAGGTTTTTGCTATAAGGCGCGTGCGCTCGCCAGACAGACAGAGAGAGACAGAGAGATAGAAAGCGAGAAATCACCCCCCAGGGGGGATGGCCACGCCGCAATCCCTTCTCCTCCGTTCTCCTCTCGGGATCTTGGGCACGCACGCACACACGCCCAGCGTGAGTTTTTTAAGCCACCAGGTCCGGGACGCGAACCGCGGTCGACTACGTGGGAGTCCAGCAACATAGCCATTACGCTAACTGCTGGTCCCCAGTATAGCATTCTTTAATTTCATCAACACATATTTATTGAAAACTTCTGTGGGCCAGGTACTGTTCTGTTTGAGATATATCAAGAAACAAAATTCCCTGCCTTGTAGAGCTTATAGTCTAGAAGTGGAGCAGAGAAGAGAGGATAGATAATAAACTTAATAAGTAACCAAAATGGGGAACGCTGTTATAGAGACATCATCAATGTGGGAGTAGTATTATGACCAAGATGTACTTCCTAGGGATCTACGGATATCCTCTTCATATGGAATGACATGAATGAGCCCTCTGTCTTTAGAGGGCCAGAGCAAACCATGCAGAAAAATGCTGTTCACTATGGCAATTGGGAGCACAGAGAACTTCACAACATCTATGGTTTTTATCAGGTAAGACGTCTAAAATGAAGTCAGCTGGACTCATGTGCTCTGCCTTTGGGACTGAAAGTCATTTGCTTTGTAATAGCCATATTCTGTCCACTTAACTTTATGTGTCTTTTCTGACAGTTGCAATGGTTGTAGCCAGTTCAAAACTTTTTGTTATTGTCCCCCACTTGCTTCTTCTCTTTCCATAATCAACTTGATGAATTTAAAAATATTATGAGATTAATGATAACATAGTACATCATTATAACATCTGCCTTGATAGGAGCAATTAGTAACATAAATGGCACTGGATCATATCTCAAAACTTTTATTGATGAGGCAGTATATAAATATATCAACAATGGTAATTAAAACAATTTTTTTAAGAGATAATTTTTGCTATAGGGCGTGTGTCCTTGCTGAAAAGATAGAAAGAGACCGAAAGGGAGAAATCAGCCCCGGGGGATGGCCATGCCACAGTCTCTTCTCCTCTATTCTCCTCTTGGAATCTTGGGCACACACGCACTCTTGCCCAACATGAGGTTTTATGGATTTATTTTTGTCTTTTTTTAAAGAATTATTTTATTTAACTTTATTTATTTTAATTCGACCAGAGAGGGACAGAGTGAGAGAAAGAGAGAGAGCAAGTAAGAAAGCAAGCTGCCAGGTCCAGGACTTGAACTGCCGTTGGCCATATGGGAGTCCAGCATCCTTCATCATCATGCCACCTGCTGGCCTCCTAGCATGAGTTTTAAGCCTCCGGCTCCTGGGGTCCAGTAGTCCAACCTTCCTGGACTATGTGGGAGTCCAATGATGTAACCATTCTCCCATCTGCTGGTCCCAAAACAATGTTTTAAAATTTTGCAAATATCTAAATATAGCAAGTCTTACATTCACCCCAGGGGAACAAGATTTAGAACACAAATACATAATTGCACTAAGTATACTTTTTAAATATAGAAAGTTTTCCTTAGGTACTTAACCTTCTCAGTAAAAGTGGTAGAATTATCATTCATTTGTCAATCACATCTAAAAGACTTGGCAATCAGAATTGGTTTCAGAATGTGTCTTTATTTTTATGACTCTCTCACCAATTGGTATTTTCCAGTGGAAGGTGCTGTCTAGATATAACATGGTTTTCAGATAGCACAGATTGTTGCTATAACTGCAAGCTATTACAGAATTTTCTAATGTAGGCCAGGATCAGTTACTTAACCTCACTGAATCTCAGTTTCAGGAAAACTGTCTGTCTCAGAGGTAGTTGTATAGTTTATATGAGAAAATATTAACATTGCCTAACAGTAAGCACCAAATAAATTCTAGGTTATTGTTTATTATTATTTCATTGCTGCTATTAATCAAAATTTTCTAGTCTTTTAGAGGAGAAATTTAGAGTAGTCTCATTACATCATAAAAATTATTTCGTGGGTTTGTTTTTACTATTTTCCATTTCACATTTGCACCTACTATTTGCTTTTTGCATGTTAGATAGCTTATGAGGGGTATCTGCACAATACCCAAATCTAATAATCTCTTTTGACAATTTTCTTCTTTGCCTTTATAGCAAATGGCTACCGCAGAAGGACTGATCAAAAGATCTAAATGGAAAGAGAGACCCTTTGTTCTTACACGTTCTTTCTTTGCTGGGTCACAAAAGTATGGTAAGGAACAGCTTCTATTGTCATTTACCAGACTGAAAAACACAAGGTATCAACCTGTCTTTTTTCACCATTTGTGGCATATGCTGATATCGTGTCGATGCCTTCCTTTTCAATAGTCACTGGTTAAACTGTTGGTTGTAGAGTGATAGGCCCTGAAGTATGTGTTTTGTACTATAAGACAGAGTAAGCCAGTTTTTTGGTTTTCTTTTAGAGATTTTAGAGAGATTTTTGGTATAGGGCATGTGCACTCACCAGAGAGACAGAGACAGACAGAAGTAAGAAATCACCGCACCACAATCCCTTTTCCTCCATCATCCTCTCGGGATTTGGGGCACACACACACACACACACACATACACGATGTGAGTTGTAAGCTGCTGGGTCTGGGACTCAAACCACTATCGACTATGTGGGAGTCCCGCAACTTAACTATTACTCCATCTGCTGGTTCCCAGAGTAAACCAGTTTTAATCAAGATCTATACTTGTTTCCACTAAAGAAATGGTCATTTAGTTGTTAGGAGAGTGATTTCAAAGTGTTCATTTGCTGGGATGGTCAACTCTGATCCTGTCTCTCTGATTTACCAAAACCAGAGAAGCATACCTCTAACAGCTTCCTCAACCAACTGTTCCATTTAGCAATATGGCTTAAAATAGACCTGGCTGTTGCTTATGTTCAGGGTCATTTATAACTGGATTCAATGTACTAACAAATGTAGGTCCAGTTCAACTTAATCACCCTGTGGCAAGAAGGCTATTTTTAGTCCTCAGCCTTTCATAAATAACTGCAGACTTAGATTCTAGTTTGGAAGAATTCAGCCCTTACTGTACTATAGACATTATTAGACCTCCCAACCCACCCTTGAAAACCAGCCCCTGTGGTACTGTGGAAGGCCAAAGTTTCATGTACAGAGATGCTCACTACAGAATTAGTCCTTAAAACAAAAAGAAAGAAAATCTAAATATGTAACAAGGGAATAATTATAAGAGTATGGCATATTCATATGATAGACGATCAAGAGGCTATTTTAAATGTTTCCTTTTCCTTACATTTCTCTCATGATTAATGATGTTGAACTTTTATTTCATATGCTTTTTGGCCATTGTAAGTCTTCTGCAAAATTTCTATTCAAATCATTTGCTCATGTAAAAAATTGGATTATTTTCTTGAAAACATTTTTGTTTCATTCTGTAGGCTCTCTATTCTGTTGATTGTTTCCTTTGTTGTACAGAAGCTTTTTAATTTGATATAATCTGTTTGTCTATTTTGCCTTTGTTTTCTGTGTTTTTGAGGTCTTATCCAAAAACTCTTTGCCCACATTAATGTTTTGAAGAATTTCCCTTACATTTTCTTCTAGTACTTTAATATAATCAGGTATTATGTTTAAGTCTTTAGTCTATTTTTGAGTTGATTTTTATATATGGTGAGAGATAGGGGTCTAGTTTTATTCTTCACATATGCTTATTAAATTTACCCAGCACAGTTTATTGATGAGACAGTCATTTTCCCGGGTAACGTTCTTGGCACCCTTCTTGAAAAATTGGCTGACTATGTATATTTAGATTTATTCTGGGCTCTCTATTTTGTTCATTGGTTTATGTGTCTGTTTTTATGCCAGTACCATGCTGTTTTGGTTACTGTAGCTTTGTAGTATATTTTGAAGTTAGATAGTGTAATGCCTTCAGCTTTATCTTCACACCTTTTTTGGCTATTATCAAAAAGACAAAAAAATAACAAATGCTGAAGGGGATGTGGAGAAAGAGGAAGTCTTTTACTGAGTTGGTAGAAATGTAAACAATACGGCCATCTTGGAAAACAGTATACAGGTCCCTCAAAAAACTAAAAATAGAATTGCCATATGATCTGTGACAGTTCTTAAAAACAGCAGTCCCAGAACTAGACATATATCCAAAGGAAGGAAACCAGTGTATTATAGAGATAACTATTCCAATTTTTGCTATAGCATTATGAATAGCCAAGATATGAACTCAGCCTAAGTGTCCATCAACAGAAAAATGGTTAAAGAAAATTGTGTATACATGCATGATGGAATACTATTCAATTATTAAAAAAGAATGAGATTTTGTCATTTATAGCAGTATAGACAAGTCTAGAGAATGTTATGGTAAGTGAAATAAGCCAGTTGCAAAAAAAAAAAATGATACATGTTCTCACTTATACATGGAAACTAAAAAAGTTGACCTCATATAAGTAAAGAGCAGGATAGTAATTACTGGAGATGAAGAAGGGTAGAGAGAGGGTAAAGGGATATGTAGACTAATAGATGCAAAATTACAGTCAGAAGAAAGGAAGAAGTTCTAATATTCTATAGCACAGTAAGGTAACTTTAGTTAACAGCAATTAATTGTACATTTCAGGATAGCTAAAGAGGATTTTGAATAAGCCCAACACAAAGAAATGCTAAACGTTTGAGATGATGAATATGCTCATGTCCTGATTTAATCATTATATATTTTATTCATCTACTGAAAAATTATACTGTATTCCATAGGGAGTTACAATATGTGCCAATTAAAATATAATTTAAGGGACTAGCAGATGGTGTAATGATTATGTCGCTGGACTCGCACATAGTTGACCACTCCCAACACAAAGAAATGCTAAACGTTTGAGATGATGAATATGCTCATGTCCTGATTTAATCATTATATATTTTATTCATCTACTGAAAAATTATACTGTATTCCATAGGGAGTTACAATATGTGCCAATTAAAATATAATTTAAGGGACTAGCAGATGGTGTAATGATTATGTCGCTGGACTCCCACATAGTTGACCACTGTTTGAGCCCCAAACCTGGCAGCTTAAACTCACCCCAGGTGCGTGTGTGTATGTGTGTGTGCCCAAGATCCCAAGAGGAGAATTAAGGAGAAGGAATGGTGGCATGGCCATCCCCTCAGGAAGTGATTTCTTGCTTTCTGTATCTGTCTCTGTCTTTCCAGCAAGTAAATGCGCCCTATAGCAAAAACCCCTCAAAAAAAAAAAAAATATATATATGTATATATAAAACATTTCAATGGGGCCAGCAGATGGCATAGTAGTTAAGGCACTGAACTTCTATGTGGTCAACCACAGTTAGAGTGCCAGACCTGGCAGCTTGAAATTCATGCCTGGCATGTGTACATGCATTCCCAAATTCCCAAGAGAAGAATGGACGAGAATGGATTGTGGCATGACCACCCCTCCTGGGGATGATTTCTGCTTTCTGTCTCTCTGGTAAGCACACATGCCCTATAGCAAAAATCTCTCAGAAAAAAAATATATACACATGTATAATTTAAGTAAATGGTTCCTTTAATTGCATAAGAAAATATGTATAACATCATGATAAATTAAAAAAGAAAAAATGCCTGAGTTTGTATTTATTATTCTAATTTCATAATAAATAAAGGTAGTTATTTAATAGATTGATAGCTGGGCAGACAGATAAAATACGAGAAAATGTAGTACCTTTGTGATTATGAGCAATTTTAATTTTCTCCTTTTACCTATTTTTATTTTTCAAATTCTTTGCAAGTTTTTTTTTTTGAGAGGTTTTTCTATAGGGTGTGTGCACTCAACAGACAGATAGAGAGAGACAGAGAGACAGAAAGTGAGAAATCACCCCCTGGGGGGAGGCCACGCCACAGTCCCTTCTCCTCTTGGGATCTTGGGCACACACACACAAGCGCCAGGCGTGAGTTTAAGCCACCAGGTCCAGGACTTGAACCACGGACAACTATGTGGGAGTCCAGCGACATAGCCATGACGCTAACTGCTGGTCCCATTTTTTTTTTAAGGTTTTTACCATAGGGCATGTGTGCTCACCAGAGAGAAACAGAGAGAGAGAGTGAGAGGGAATGTGAGAAATTACCCCAGAGAAGATGGCCATACCTCAGTACCTTCTCCCCCATTCTCCTCCTGTGATTTTTGGCACACGTGCATAAGAGCCCAGCGTGATGAAGTTGCCAGGTCCGGGACTCAAACCATAGTCAGCCATGTGGGAGTACAGTGACGTAACTACCACACCACCTGATGGCCCTCTTTACAAGTTTTTTTTTTTCAAGTATTTTTAATCACATTGAAAAAATATTTTTAAAATTTATTTACTTACATTCATTCACTGTACACCAATACAGTATACAAAGTAAGATTTTCCATCCAGAATACACTGTATATTGGCTCAATCAAAGATACTACCATACATGTTATTGTCAATAAATAATTTTCCATTTCTTGTTTCTTACATATTTTGCTTTTTTTTCCCCCCTTGATTCCCTTCCTTTCACCCTCTGCCATTTCCTACCCTCCTCCCACATTGTCTCTGGTACCTACAGTTGTTTTCCATGCCTTTTTTTTTTCTTTCATATTTTATTAATTCACTGAAGAGCTTAATTAATTTTAAAAAAACTTTCAATAGCAAGCACAGCTGATATGTACATATCTATGAACACATGTCTGATTTCAGGCGTAAACCTCAGTGAGTAAAGTGAACATACTATAAAGTTGTACCTAACTAGGGCTATATAGCTTACTGCAGTCATTAAATAGGTGTATTTTTAATGCCTTTTTTAATTTCAAGAAAAACAGTTTTAATTTTAATAGATCAAAATAAAAAAAATGTTAAGAGAAATTTGCTTAATACTTAAAGCCAGGAAAAAGGTTAGGATTCAGTGCAATTAGGAGGTAAATGAACCTATCAACAGTTCTAGAAAAGACAAAAATCCTTAAATATGGAAATGAAAGCATAAAAAAACCCAGTAATGTTTTAGTCTAAAGTCAAAAAATTCTATTTCACCAGTTCAGTCTTATGTAATTTATCTCTCTTCTGTTGAATTTGCAGTATTGCTATGGTCTGATCTTTTCATTTAAATTCTGGAAGTTAACATTCAACTCCGGACTCGCCCTTACCATTAGCCTGGCCATTTTCTTGGTTGTTTTTTTGAACTCTTATTTCCATGTGTCTGGCTCTAGTTTTCCTGGTC